GTGAGCAAGACCTGCGAACACAGCTGATGGAGGACTTGTTCAGAGTGATGGAATGGCTGCAGGCTCAACAAGGCAGGGTGGCGTACCTGCTGGAGCATTTAGACATGGAAGGAGATGTGCGTGAGCCCATACGGCTGGTAAGGGAGCGAGTGACCAGACAGGTGGGAAAAGGGGTAAGCTGCGACGCAACACGGATGGGAGCCTACTCACACAGGCTCATAATGTATTGGCAAAACGTGGTGCCAGCAGAAGACCTGCAGAGGAAGATAGAGGGGGTGAGAAGAGCAGGGGGGCGGAAGCTGAGCGATATACTCGAGCCTGGGCGAACACCAGCACCAGTAAGCAAGAGGAGCTACAGCCGACATTACCCTTGCAACACAGTGGGGCAAGAGAGGCAAGCACTGCCGACGCTCGTGTCATATGAAGGGGCAGCAGGGTACCAGATGGAGGGGAAGCAGCCAGGCCCAGGACTAGTGCTCGATCATAGGAAGGGAAGATGGGAAGAGCCCACGGCCCTGGAGAGGGAGCTGGCTATGGGGTACAAGGAGAACATCACAGCAGCCCCGGGCGTGACAGAGCAGGAAAGGAGGCGGGCGATGGGGAATGCAATGGATGGATACGTGATGAGGTGGTTGGTGCAGCGGATGTGGAGAGAAACGGTGCTGCACTGGGGACTGAAGGAGGGAGAAAATACAGAGGCAACGGTGAGACAAGGGGTGTGGACCTGCCTGCCAACAGCAGAGCCTGAGTGGAAGATAGGAGAGAGCATGAGCGAGGGAGGGAAGACAGCGATGCTGGCACTACTGGTCAAGCACAGGAAAGGCTTCGCTTTCACCCTGCAGGAGTTGGGGAAGTGCAAGATCAAGGAGATGGCATTGAAGCTGAACAGTGAAGAGCCGGTGTTCCATCGCAGAAGAAAGATGCCACCAGGGGATGAGGCGATCTGCAAGGAGAAAGTACAGGAGTTGCTGGAAGCAGGACTGATCAGAAGGTCAGAGTCAGAGTACGCAACCCCGACCGTGGTGGCAGCCAGGAAGGATTTGACAGGCGAGGTGCTGAGCCGCAGAATGTGCGGTGATTACAGAGATCTTAACAAGATCACCGTGCCGGATAGGTACCCCATGCCAATGGCGGAAGAACTCTTCGACAAGCTGGCCGACGGAGTATACTTCACGACGCTGGACCTGCGCCAGGGATTCAATCAGATAAAAATCAGAGAGGAAGATGTGAAGAAGACAGCCTTCCACGGACCGGACGGGCTGTATGAGTGGTTATACATGCCCTTCGGCCTGCGGAATGCCTCGGCAGTGTTTCAGAGAGTTATGGATGCGGTGCTGCGGGGGATTGAACATGCAGCATGCTACATTGATGATGTGGTCATCTTCAGCCAGACAGAGCAGCAGCACCTTGAGGACGTGGAGCGGACCCTGAGTGCAATAGAGGAGGCAGGGCTCACCTGTCATCCCAACAAGTGCAGGTGGGGGGAGCGGACAGTGCAGTACCTGGGGTATGAAGTGACAGGAGGACAGATCGGGATTCAGCAAGCAAAGGTGCAGGTGCTGGACAGGCTGAGGGAACCCAGGGACAAGACAGGGCTGCGCGCAGTCTTGGGCTTCCTCAGCTACTACAGGCGCTTCGTGCCTAACTTCAGTAAGCGGGCGGCAGTGCTGAACGGGATGCTGCGAGAGGACAAGGTATGGGAGTGGGGAGAACAGCAGAGGGAAGCACTGCAAGACCTCATGACAGCCGTGAAGACAGCAACCGTGCTGCGGCTGCCAGTAGCAGACCAGCCCTTCGTCCTCTACACCGATTGGAGCAGCCAGGGGATGGGGGCAATCCTGTGCCAGGAAGTGGAGGGAGTGGAAAAAGTGGTAGCCTACGCCAGCAGGAGCTGCAACCCCGCAGAGGCGCAGTATAGCTCATACATAGGGGAGGGGCTGGCGGCCGTGTGGGCGGTGGGGCATTTCAGGGTGTACCTGCAGGGCCGCGAGTTCACACTGGTCACTGACCATCAGCCCCTCACTTGGCTGATGACCACACCAGGGCTGACGGGAAGAAACGCAAGGTGGGCACTGAAGCTGCAAGAATATGATTTCCAGATCAGGCATAGGCCGGGGAAGACGCTGCAGCACGTCGACGGTCTCTCTCGCAACCCACCACCGCTGGAATCAGGACAGAGAACACAGGGGACGGAAGGGACGGAGCTGGAGCCAGCACACACCTTGATCATGCTGGCGAGAGAAGCGGAAGAGGTCGGAGCCAAGGGGAGCAAGGGACCAGCCGACATCTGGCAGGACGAGAAGGCAATGCGGTGGGTGAAAGGAGAAACAGAGGAAGACGAGACAGTGTCAGAAAGAGTGCGGGCACAGGGGCACCACTACAGGTGGTATCAGCGGCAGCTGCAGATCAAGACAGAGGACGGGTGGAAGCTAGTGCCTGCACCCACGGACCGTGAAGCAGTGATCAAGGAGGTGCACACGAAGCTGGGACACTTCGGGCACGAGAGGACTGTACACCTGCTGAAGACAGGCTGGTGGTGGGAAGGGATGCGCAAGCAAGTGAAAGAGTGGGTGGAGGGGTGTGAGGCGTGTCAGAGGAGCAAGGCAAACTTAACGCAGGCCAAAGCAGAACTGCATTCACTGCCGATTTGCGGGTTGGGATTCCGATGGTCCTTGGACCTCGCGGGAGAGCTGCCGCTCAGCAGGAGCGGAAATCGGTACATCGTGTTCATGGTGGAGCATGCGAGCAAGTGGTTGGAGGTGAAAGCCATCCCCAGCAAGAGCGCGAGGCACATAGCAGCAGCCTTCAAGGCGCAGGTGGTGTGTCGCTTTGGAGCGTGCGGGGAGGTACTCACGGATCAGGGGACGGAGTTTCTGGGGGAATTTGAGAAGCTGCTGAAGGAATCCGGCATAGCGCACAGAAAAACCTCCCGCTACCACCCACAAAGCGACGGGCTGACCGAGCGAGCGGTGCAGACCTTCAAGCGGGGGCTGCGGGCCTATGGGGAGCAGAGGAAGAGGGACTGGGATGAGGAGCTGGATTGGATAGCCGCAGGGTACAGGTTCGGGAAGCAGGCAGCACTCAAGGACCACTCCCCGTACAGCCTCCTTTACGGAAGAGAGCCAATCCTGCCAGTGGAGGCACCACGGGTACTGACAGACACGGTGACAGCAGGCACGATCAAGAACTGGGTGGCCCTGACCGAGGTGAGAGCGCGCTACATGCGCTACATGCTGCCAGCGGCACTGGAGAACCTGCACACTGCACAGCTGCGGGACGCAAGGAGGTACGAACAGAGGCAGCGCAAGGGAGAGGGGCGAGTGGCAAGAGGCGTCTGTGAAGGGCAGGAGGTGTACCTCAAGAGGGCAAAGCAAGACACCCTGGATGTGGGGCTGGGTACGGTCCGCTGGAAGGTCAAGGAGGTGCGCCCTTCAGGGGTGCTGGTCCTGGAGAATGACACGGGGGCGCAAGTGAAGGAGCATCAAACGAACACTGCCGTGATCAGAGGCAGCGGGCCTCAGCGCAACGGTCCTGTGACCCGCGCTCAAGCTGCGCGAGCACGGGCACAGGAGGGGGCAGAGAGTGGCTGAGGCAGCAGAAGGAACGAAGGAGAGGCAGAGCAGGAGAATCAAGGCAGAGAAGAGCATAGCGGTAACTCCGACAGAGTGGCCTTAGGCGAGGAGTACGTGAAGCCGAAGCGCTGAAGGACCTGCTGCACCATGTGTGACTTATTCAGGGTAATGGTGGGGCGTGCTCTGTCCCGGGTGATCTGCAAGCCAAGGTAGCTGCGCAGTTCACCCAGGTCTGTGCACGTGTGTCTCTTCTGCAGCTCGGACTTCACGTGGGCGAGTCCAGCAATGTCAGCTGTGGCAAAGACCAAGTCGTCGACGTACACGAGGATGTAGAACGGCGGCAAAGAAGTGTCGGTGCGCAGAAACAACGACGGGTCAGCAGTAGAGGGAGCAAACCCAAGAGCCGCAAGTGTAGTCCTCAGTGTGTCGTGCCACTCACGCGGTGCCTGGCGGAGACCATAGATTGGTCGCCGCAGGCTGACGATGTTCGCCCCAGGCGGGGGAACCTCGTCAACGTAGGTGCCTGTGGACTTCCAGGAAGCCATCTCTGTGTCCACAGCTGCCTGCCACTAAGAGGAGTAGGGACCCTCTATCGCCTCCGCGTAAGAGCGCGGAGTCGGGATGTCATGTGCATCCGGGTCTCCCTCAGGGGTAAGCAGTACGGACACGAGATGAGGTGAAGCCGCAGCCAAACACTGGAACTCCTCATGCCTGTCCTCAAGGACGTCCGTGCCAAGGGCAAACTCACCCCCGACGGACGGAGGACAGACAGACTCAGACTCAGCGACAAGACTAGCAGCGTAGTCTAGACGACAGCGAGCAGCGAAGTCGACGAGCTCAGCAACTAGGGCAGACGCAGCAGTGGACTCAAAGGAAGCGTCAGTGACGACAGTAGCAAGGAGACGCGTGATAGTAGGACTGGCAGCACGAAGAGAGTCCGACTCCAAGTCGGCAAGAGCAGGAAGCGAGGACTCAGGAGGAGAAGGCAAAGGGGCACGCAAAGGAGCAGTGGACGGACGTAGAAACATCCGGTGCGTGCCAGGGACAGGAGGAGGACGCTGACGCGAACCACGACCACTAGTGCGAGCAGGACGGACAGGCGACGCAGGGCGAGACGCAGGCTCAAGACGCTCAGCAAGACCTCCAGTAGGACCAGTGTAGGGAGAAGGAGCAGGCAGTGGGGAGGCCGGCTGTAACTGTGACTGTGACGGGACAGGCTGTGGACACTCTAAGGGAGGAGGAGGACAAGTAGAAGGCGGGAGACCAAGAACCTGCTGAAGGAGCGGAACGAAGTACGGCCGAGGCCGCGCGGCGACTCCAGACACAGCAGGGACAGCACCAGTACCCCCAGCGGCAGCACCAGCGCCAGCAACACCTCCAGCTCCAGTACCTCCTGCAGCACCAGTAGCACCCTCAGCAGGACCTCCTCTAGGACAGTAGCCTCAGCGCAAACACCCTCAGCAGCTCCAACTCCAGTCGTACCGGCAGGCCCAGCAGCTCCAGTACTCCCAGTACGAGCACCTCCGGGACCCGCGGCACCAGCACCCTCAACAGCCGAAGAACCTCCAGCTCCGGCAGCACGCCTCCAGCGCCGGGCAAACCACTCGCGCAGCTCCTGTGGAGAGAGTGGCTCCCGCCGAGACGAAGCACCCGGAGAACCTCCACGCCCAGCACCGCCAGACGCCACACGAGCAGGCCTAGCTCCCTCAGGCTCCGCACCCCCAGGCTCAGCACCTCCAGGCGTAGCACCCCCATGCGCTCAGCACCCCCATGCGTAGCACCCCAAGGCTCAGCACCCCCAGGCTCAGCACCCTCAGTGGTAGCACCCCCAGGCTCAGCACCCCCAGGCTCAGCACCCCCATTAGTAGCACCCTCAGGCTCAGCACCCCGAGGCGTAGCACCCACACGCTCAGCACCCCGAGAGTCGGAACCCCTAGGCTCAGCACCCTCATCAGCACCAGAGTCACCAATAACCTCGACAGGCTCGACTGCGTCTACGTGGGACACACCTGAAGGGGCAGGACCCTGAGGGGGGAGGGGGTCTACCGGGGGGGGACCTGGCACAAGGAAGAGCGGTGGCGGGGGGAGGGACGGAGTGCGGTAGGGGAAGAGGCGGTAGTAGGGGACCGACTCGTCAAACGTGACGTCCTGGGAGGACAGAACACGGCGAGAGGTGGGGTTGTAGAACTGCCACGCTGGCGCGTCAGGGGGGAAGCAAAGGAAGACGCAAGGAGCAGCACGAGGGGACAGCTTGTCCGCAGACAAGTCGCGGACAAACGCCCGAGATCCCCAGACACGGAACGCAGACGCATCGCCAACCTTCCCCGTCCACAGCAAAGCTGGGGAGGTCTCCGGCATGGAGACCCTGGGGTGAAGGTTGATCTGATGCGCCGCGTATCGAACCGGAAACGGCCACAGAAAATGGGGGGCAACCGCATGCATCATGGACGTACGGGCGACATCCATGACCATGCCAATGCGGCGCTCAGCAATCCCATTTTGCTGTGGAGAGTCCGGAAGCGTGAAGGTCTGGCGGATGCCTCGTGCACGACAGTAGGCTCGCAGAAGGCCAGAGGAGAACTCTCCGCCTCTGTCAGAGTGCAGACGCAGAACAGGAAAGTCCGAGTCGAAGCTCTGCCTGAGCTGGAGACGAGCTGCGCGGATCCAGTCGATCAACACCGCATTGACGTCACACTTGCTGCGCAAGGGGAAGACTGTGGTGTAACGCGAGTAGTCGTCAACCACCAGCAGGAAGTAGTGCTCGTGATCCTGTCCACGGACGCGGGCCGGGCCCCACACGTCCATGTGAAGCGTCTGCAGCGGGGCCTCTGTCGGAGGAAACTGGGAGGAGTGAGGGGCAGCCCGCTGGCGCCCCTCGACACAGGAGACGCAGGTAGGGCCAGGCCCCGGAGGAAGGGGAGGGAGGGACCGGGGAAGACCAGAGACAAGGACACGGGAGGCCATGCCTCGGAGACGAAGCAGGGAGGGGTGACCAAGGCGGTGGTGCCAGAGGAGAGTCTCGTGAGACAGGAGGCGACACGAGCAGGGGGCAGACTCAGGACCAGACCTGGACGCTGCAGCAAACACCTGACCCGACGCAGCTACCTGACCAGACGCAGTGACTGGAGGAGAAGCAGTGGTCAGTGTGTACAGGCTCGACCCCGGCCGACGTGTAAACGTGGCCAGGCGTCGGCCTGTCCGAGCGTACGTGCAGTGGGTCACCCGCTGACTCACAGGAGTGAACTGGTGAACCCCCGCATCCTGTAGGTCAGCACCACTCACCAAGTTCGTAGAGAATGAGGGGAGGTAAAGACCAGACAGGGTGCCAGAGGGGGCCGCCGGACACGGGAGGACAGTGGAGAAGTGAGCAAGGACAGGACCCCCAGAAGGGTCTGCCAGAGAGATTGCATCTGGCCGGCCAAGCGGCGTGAGTGAGGTGCGGTCTCGAAAGAAGGAGCGAGAAGTCCCCGAGTCAAGGGTGAAGGTGTGGGAGGCCGAAGCCGACGTAGTACCTAAGAGAGCAGACTCACCAGCACCTGAGGGAGCAGACGCATGAGAACCTAGAGCAACAGCCTCGCTAGCACCTAGAGCAGCAGCCTCACCATTACCTAGAGCAGCAATCTCAATGCCCGGGTCGGGCGGAACACCGGTAACAGTCACCCTCATCACTTATAGTCACAGCATACATGGCAGCAAGAATAGCATCAAAGTCAAGGTCAAAGACAGCTACTCCCGCCCTAGACAGCTCGCCCCAGCGGGGGATCTAAGTGGCCTCAGGGAACTAGTGACGCCAAGCGTCCGTCAGGCGGCCAAAGCAGCGCTGGGTGGAGTGCGCACCCCCGCACTGCTCACCCGTGCGGTCGCCGGTGCGTAGGACGTAGGTGCACGGACCAGTACCCCCACCCCGCTGGCGTGCAGCGTACCACTCACGGAGCTGCTGAGGTGGGGGGATGTCACGAGTGCGCTGCTGCTGCTGCTGCTGGCGCTGACCACCACCGGAGCCGACCCTCTGCGCAGCACCACCCTGACCAGCTCCACCTCCTCTGCCGCCGCCTCCTCCACCGCCGCCACCTCCGCCACCTCCGCTCCTACCGCCACCGCCGCCACCGCCTCCGCCTCCACTGCCGCCACCGACACCTCCACCCCCGCCACCACTCCCACCACCACCCCCACCCCCTCCACTCCCTCCACCGCCACCTCCGCCACCCCCGCCAGCCCCTCCAGCACACTTGTCCCCTTTGCCCTTGCCGGTGCGGCGTCTCCTGCTCAGGGCAGACGCAGCGCCGACCGACTCGAAACCAACGAGGTCGGCCGCAGCAGCAGAGGCAACAGAGGGCAAAAGGGGGGAGGGGGAACACCCCTCAAAGACGGGGGTGCGAGGGTCACCACGAGAGGCTCCTACAGCGACTATGCTCTTCTCTGCTGCTAGGAGGGCCTTCTCGAGGAGGTCAACGGTGAGAGTGGTGGGGCAAATTGAGAGGAAGTGGTCCCTCACTACGCGGAGAGAGTCAGGGAGTCGGGTGACTATGTAGTAGAGGGTGATGTACATGGGGGGGGGGGGGGGGGGGTTCTTGGCGCAGAACTCAGCAGGAAGCGCAGCGCGGTAGCGAGTGTCACTAGTGCGGGGATGCGTAATGAGGTCAACGACTGTGGGAAAGGCAGCAAGGTCAGGAAAGAGGTACGGTAGCATGAGGCGGCTCAGTGCAGCAGTGGCAGGGGAGGAGTAGCGCGCAACTACAGCGTGGTACAAGGTCTGAGCACTCTTGTACTGGCTAAAGTGCGCACGCTGAGAGGTAGGCAGGTGGCGACGCACAGCAAGACGTGCAGCAGCATCGCGTGTGGCCCACTGTGAGCGAACAGTGGCGTCAGCATCAGCAGCAGGGGTAGGAGAGGCACCAGAGGTGAGGTCAAAGAGGGAGAGACCGTCTGCCCTGTCGCATTGTAGGAAAAGCTGCAGGTCATCTACCCAGACGTCAAAGTCAATGGCCCGACCCTCAGCGTCAAAAGCGAGGACACTAGGGGTAGCCATGACAGCAGTAGACTAGCAGCGCAAGCAGTAGGGTAAGGGCAGTGCAGTGACAGAGGCGCTGCTCTTACCGGACAGGGCGGCTCGGGCGGCTCGGCGGCTCGGCAACTCGGCGGCTCGGGCGGCTCGGCAGTACGTCGGCTCGGCAGCAACTGCGGCTCGGCGACTCGGCGGCTCGGGCGGCTCGGGCAGCTCGGCGGTACAGCGGCTCGGCAGCAACTGCAGCTCGGCGGCTCGGGCGGCTCAGGTGGCGCGGCGGCTCGGGTGGATCGGACGGCTCGGCAGCAGCTCGGCGGCGCCGGCGGCTCGGTGGTGACGGCGGGGCCGTGTGGGGACGGCGGCGGGGCCGGGTGGAGCGGCGGCGGGGCCGGGTGGAGCAGCGTCGGGGCCGGGTGGAGCGGCGTCGGGGCCGGGTGGAGCAGCGTCGGGGCCAGTAGAGGCGGCGCCGTGGCCGGGAAGGGCAGCTCCGGGGCCGCAGGGGTAGGCGACGGGGCCAGCAAAGGCGGCGCCGAGGCAGGGAAGGGCGGCGCCGGGGCCGCAGGGGTAGGCGACGGGGCCGCTAGGGCGGCTAGGAGGAAGGGGGTCGCGAGGGTGGCTTGAAGAGGCCGCGAGGGCGGCTAGAAAGGGCCGCGAGGGCGGCGTGAAAGGGCCGCGAGGGCGGCGCGACGCGACGCAGCTGCGAGGGCGGCTGATCGGGGCCGCGAGGGCGGCGCGACGCGGCCGCTAGGGCGGCGCGACGTGAAGGGGCCGCGAGGGCGACGCGACGGGGCCGCAAGCGCGACGCGACAGGGTCGAAAGAGCGGCTCGACGGGGCCGTGAGAGGGGAGCGCGACTCGGGCAGTGTAGAGCGCGCTCCGGGCAGGAAAAAAAAGGTGGTGGGCCCTAGGAACAGTTCCCACAGGGGAACCTGCTCGATACCCTGAGAATCTGAACGAGAATGGAAATGACTAAGAGAAAGTTGGGTATAAGTGCAAACCCTAGAAAGCTGTACCCCATATGTACTACCCCACTATAGCCTACAGTAGCTATGTGATATAAATCTGACAGGGTTGTCTAACTATAAAATTACATATAAATGTGTTAGGTTAGGCCTGTCGGGCTGTGGTGAGGTACGTTTTATAGGGTATATCTTTTCCCTTGGGAGTTGTGTTTGTGCCTTCTCTCTCGTTAGTGAAAATACTTCATAAATTCTAAGATGATATCACCTAGGTAGTTCCTAGGCCGTAGTTCCGTGTCGCCCTGTGTCGCCCTCAATCGCCCCGTTACGCGCTGCCCACGCTGCCTGCGCTACCCTAGCTGTAGGACCTGCACACGCTTGCACAGCAGCGCACACGCGCAGCAGAGCCCCGCGCGCGAGCAGCAGCAGCCTTGCGCGCACAGCAGCGGCCGCCATGCGCACTGAAACTGCCGTCGAGTGTCGCTGCAAACATTATCCGCACTCCGCCCCGTCCCTTGCTGCGCTCTGCCCTGCCGCCCGCGCGCGCAGCTCTATGCACGTCCCCCGCATGAGCAGACGTGCGCAGCAACAGCTGCACGCACACGCGCAGCTGCTTACGCAGTAGGAGCCGCGCGCAGGTGACTTAGTCACCTAAGTTCCGTAGATTTTAAGAGGGTTCCCTACGGCTTCGTTAGAGGTTGGTGTTGACGCCACACCACGATGAGATTTGCAAAACTGTTACCGTAGCACTCAACCATTCTTTCATTCCCTAACAATTTCCCACGCCCCATCATCGTCTCTAAACCCTAAATCCAGAACCCCTTGTCGTTAGTTCGCCGTGTCAGCAGGCCTTCTCACTTTTTGCTAAATTGGATTTTCGTTCGAGATTAGATTAGACTTTTAGCGCGCCACGCAATTTTCCTCGCGTGGCTCTGCAGCGCGGCGGAGCGATGAAGGCGGCGAAGCGGGGAGCGAAGGCGCCTCGTGCTGGTGGCGGGCGGGGGGATCTCAGCGGCCCGCAGATGCCACCCACCGTCATCTCTGACTCGCGGTTCGCCGCGCTCCACTCCGACCCGCGCTTCGCGGTGAGCTTCGACAGCAGCCGCTCTGGCTGCTTGACGGTGGGCGTGGAAATGCGATGGTTGAAGGTCGCGCTGCTGTCGCCTGCGCGCCCACCTTGGCGGCAGCCCAGTCGCCGTCCTCCAACACGCCACGTGCCTCACCCCCTGCCATGCCCCTCCCACTTCATGCCTCTCTCGCATCCTCTCGCCCTTCCTGCCAATCCCGCCTGCCGTGCTACACACATTCGCAGCAAGTCATTCCGCCTCTCCCCACTTTCCCGTTTCCCCATCGCCTTTCCCCAGCCCGCCCCTTGTCCGACTCCCCTGCGCCCTCTGTCCGCCCCATTCGTCCCACGCGCTCTCCATCTGCCCGTCTCGACGTCTTGCACAACAGCCAGGCACTTGCCGCTCCTATTCTTTCCTACATCCCCGACCCTGTCCAGAATAGTGCACCCCAAACCCTAAACTCCTGAACCCCTAACCCCGAAGTTGATTTATCAACCCCAAACCCAGGACCCTCGTCACCCCCATGCACCCCTCGTCACTTCCACGCACCCCGCGTCAACTCCCATGCACCCCTCGCCACCCTTGCGTTCCCCCCCCCAGCGCGTGCCGGTGCGCGAGACGCGCGTGGCGGTGGACGCGCGGTTCTCCGGCATGTTCCTCTCGGCGCAGTTCGGCGAGGCGGGCGGCGTGGACAAGCGCGGACGGCGGCGCGAGGCGCAGCGAGGGGCCGACCTGAAGCGGTACTACCACGTGGATGAGGGGGAAGAGGGGGAGGCGGGGGAGGCGGGGGAGGGAGAAGGGGAGGTGAATGAGGGAAGCGGGGAGAAGGAAAAGCAGGTAGAAGCAAGGGCGCGTAAGGAGGAGGAGGAGGAGGAGGAGGAGGAGAAGGAGGAGGAGGAGGAGGAGGAGGAGGAGGAGGAGGAGGAGGAGGAGGAGGAGGAGGAGGAGGAGGAAGAGGAGGGGGAGGTGCATGAGAGTGATGAAGAAGAGGAGGGGGAGGGCTCAGATGACTCGTCCTCCTCTTCCTCATCAGACTCGGAGAGTGAGAGCGATGAAGAGGCTTCAACCGCACAGGTGCTTGCCTTACTCCCACCCCTCTCTTCTCACCTTTTCCCTCTGCACCGCTCCATTTTCCCACCACCACATGCTGCTTCGGCCGCTCCCCACTCCCACTCATCTTTGCTCCACCCCCTCCTCTCTCCCCTCATCGCCCCACATCCCGCGCTGCCCCTTGTCGCGCCGCCGTCTATCCCGGGCGGCAGCAGCAGGAGGAGGAGCGAGTGGAGACGGTGGAGGAGGCAACGAGGCGCCTGGCGCTCGTCAACATGGACTGGGATAACATGCGGGTGAGATGAGGGAGGAGAGGGGCGATGTGTGGGTGAGATGAGAGAGGAGAGGGGCGACGTGTGGGTGAGATGAGAGAGGAGAGGGGCGACGTGTGGGTGAGATGAGAGAGGAGAGGGGCGACGTGTGGGTGAGATGAGAGAGGAGAGGGGCGACGTGTGGGTGAGATGAGAGAGGAGAGGGGCGACGTGTGGGTGAGATGAGAGAGGAGAGGGGCGACGTGTGGGTGAGATGAGAGAGGAGAGGGGCGACGTGTGGGTGAGATGAGGGGCAGCATGAAGTGGCACAATCAGGGACGTGAGGGGGGGGGCGTATGGGGGTGAGCATGGCATGCACATGGGAGGGGAGCAGGCAAGGACATGGGAGGGGAGCAGGCAAGGACATGGGAGGGGAGCAGGCAAGGACATGGGAGGGGAGCAGGCAAGGACATGGGAGGGGAGCAGGTAAGGACATGGGAGGGGAGCATGGGGAAGAGCAGAGCCATGCACAGTGGCTGGACTACTTCCATGCACAGTGGCTGGACTACTTCCATGCACAGTGGCTGGACTACTTCCGTGCACAGTGGCTGGACTACTTCCATGCACAGTGGCTGGACTACTTCCATCCACAGTGTCTGGACTACTTCCATGCACAGTGGCTGGACTACTTCCATGCACAGTGGCTGGACTACTTCCATGCACAGTGGCTGGACTACTTCCATGCACAGTGGCTGGACCACTTCCGTGCACAGTGGCTGGACTACTTCCATGCACAGTGGCTGGACTACTTCCGTGCTCCGTCTTGCTGCACGCTCACTGCCATCTCACGTCTCTCCTCTCCTGTTCTTTCCGTTCCCTCTTGCTCATCCTCCCCCCCCCCCGCCACGGCAGGCAGTGGACATCCTGGTGGTGCTGCGCTCCTTCGTGCCGCCCGGCGGGCGCATCACAGCCGTCACCGTGTACCCCTCTGACTTCGGCCGCCAGCAGATGCACGCCGAGCTTGAGCGCGGCCCCCAGGGCCTCTTCCAGGCGGGCAGGGGGGCAAAGGGGACGGCAGGCAGGGGGCCTCAGGTGCAGGGGGGTGAGGGCGGTGAAGAGGAGGAAGGGGAGAGCAGTGAGGAGGGCGAGGGCGTGGATGCGGAGAGGCTGAGGGAGTACGAGAAGTCCAAGCTCAGGTGAGGGAGTACGACAAGTCCAAGCTCAGGTGAGGGAGTACGACAAGTCCAAGCTCAGGTGAGGGAGTACGACAAGTCCAAGCTCAGGTGAGGGAGTACGACAAGTCCAAGCTCAGGTGAGGGAGTACGACAAGTCCAAGCTCAGGTGAGGGAGTACGACAAGTCCAAGCTCAGGTGAGGGAGTACGACAAGTCCAAGCTCAGGTGAGGGAGTACGACAAGTCCAAGCTCAGGTGAGGGAGTACGACAAGTCCAAGCTCAGGTGAGGGAGTACGACAAGTCCAAGCTCAGGTGAGGGAGTACGACAAGTCCAAGCTCAGGTGAGGGAGTACGACAAGTCCAAGCTCAGGTGAGGGAGTACGACAAGTCCATCCCAGGCCCATCCTGTCGGCCCATCCTGTCTGCCCATCCTGTCTGCCCATATCCCACACGTTTCTATCCCGACTCTGCATGATCGTTTCTTATCAGCTCACCTTCTTCCATATTCCTTGTCGCTCTTGTCAGCACCCTCTGCGCGCCCACAGGTTGCCAGTTTGAGTGCCCAACCCTTCTCCTCCCCCTCCGCATGTCCTCCTCCCCTACCCCTGTGTGCGCCGTGCCGTGCCGTGCAGGTACTACTATGCGGTGGTGGAGTGTGACAGCGCGGCCACGGCGGCACACGTGTATGGGGAGTGTGACGGCATGGAGTTTGAGAACAGTGCCAACCAGCTCGACCTGCGCTTCATCCCCGACGCCATGGCCTTCAACCACCGACAGCCCCGCGACTCCTGCACCCAGGTGCCATGTCACCCCTCCGTGTGGTGTGACCCCTCCGTGCCATGTCACCCCTCCGTGCCATGTCACCCCTCCGTGCCATGTCACCCCTCCGTGCCATGTCACCCCTCCGTGCCATGTGACCCCTCCGTGTGGTGTGACCCCTCCGTGCCATGTCACCCCTCCGTGCCATGTCACCCCTCCGTGCCATGTCACCCCTCCGTGCCATGTCACCCCTCCGTGCCATGTGACCCCTCCGTGCCATGTCACCCCTCCGTGTGGTGTGACCCCTCCGTGCCATGTCACCCCTCTGTGCCATGTCACCCCTCCGTGCCATGTCACCCCTCCGTGCCATGTCACCCCTCCGTGCCATGTCACCCCTCCGTGCATGGAGTCGTGCTGGTCCAACACCAGAGGCCTCTCACGTCGTGCCGCATCACACAATGCATGCGTCGGTCGGCACAAGCCAACTGTGCACGCCAATGCGTGCATGGAGGTCAATTACCGGAGACCAGGCTGCTCTTCTTCACCCTGCACTCAATCTCCCCTCGACCTCACTCGCTGCTTACGCGCACCCGTGCAGGTGCCAGGGGACTACGAGGCACCGCTGTTCACCACGCGGGTGCTGCAGCACAGCACCTTGAAGCTCACGTGGGACGAGGACGACCCCATCCGCGTGCGAGCGCTGCGCCGCAAGTTCGCCTCCGACCAGGTGAGCGTGCCGGCCAGGTGAGCGTGCCGGCCAGGTGAGCGTGCCGGCCAGGTGAGTGCCGGCCAGGTGAGTGCCGACCAGGTGAGTGCTATCTACCCTCAAGGGGCGTGCCATGCCAGGAGATGCATCTGCCTTCACCACTCCCTCTCCCCTCTTGCTTCCCCCCTTTTTATTCCCCTGAACACCCTTTCCTCCGTTCTCCCTTGTTGTTTTGCTCCTCCTGTTTTCAACCCCCCCTCCCCCCCTTTCTCCTGCGGGCTGGGCATGTCCTCACGTGTCCTGTGCGCTGCTCTCTGCAGGTGGCGGATCTGGACTTCCACGACTACCTCGCCTCGTCCTCGGGCGAGGACGAGGAGGAGGGGGAAGAGGAGGAAGAGGAGAAAGAGGAGGAGCAGGACGAGGAGGAAGAGAGAAAGGAGAATGGTGGCAGGAAGGAGGAGGGAAAGAAGAAGGGCGGAGGCACAAGAGAGAAGCTGAGGATGCTGTTGAAGGGGCTGGCGGGGGATGGCGGAGGCAAGGGGAAGAAGGGGAAGGGGAGACCGGGAGAGGCAGAGGGGGAGGAGTCGGATGGGGAGGGGTGGGGGTCATCAGGGGTGGAGGGCGACATGGAGGTCACGTTCAGCACGGGGCTGGCGGCGCTGGGCGACAAGCTGGCGCGGCGCCGCAGCGAGCAGCAGCGCAGTGGCAGCGAGACGGTGTTTGAGGCGTACCAGCGCCAGCGCAAGGAGCGCCGCAAGGAGCGCCGCCGCCTGGCCGAGGCGAGCAAGGCGGCAGGAGGGGGCGCAGGGGGGAGTGCGGAGGAGGAGGCAGGAAGCGACGACGATTTGTACGACAGCAGGCGCGTGCAGCAGGAGGACGACCCGTTCTTTGCCCTGCCCGCAGATGAGGACCCCTTTGCTGATCCCTTCTTTGCCTCCACTCATGCCGGTGCTGCTGTGGGCAACGGAGGGGCTGGAGTGGTGAAGGGAGTGAAAGCAGGGAAGAGTGAGTATGAGAGGAAGGCGGAAGAGCGCGAGAGGAAGAGGGCGGAGCGGGAGCAAGAGAGGGCAGAGGAGGAGAGGCGGCGGGCGGAGCTGGAGCTGCTGCTGATGGAGGGGGGCGAGGGCGGGGGGGTGAAGGGGTTGAACCTCACGGCGCACGCACGCACGGCCAACGAGCAGCGCCGCGTGCAGGGCAGAGGGGCGAGGGGGGCGCATGGCGCAGCGGGGGAGGAGGAGGCTGACGGGGAGGGAGGAAGAGCACGGTCGGTGGGTGGTGGGGGCAAGGTGGGGAGGGGCGGAAGGAAGGGGAGGAGTGTGGAGCAGGCGGGGCAGGAGGCGGGGCGGGGTGTGGACGTGGACGTGAATGACCCACGCTTCGCTGCTCTCTTCACCTCTCCGCACTTCGCCATCGACCCCACCGACCCCCGCTTCCTCAAGTCAGTGCTACATCGCACCCCACTGCTGCCATCCCATCCCATTCCCCCCCATTCCATTCCATCCCTGCCACTCCATCCCATCCTCTGGCCGCCATTGCGTGTCATGGCGCGTGCCCCTCACAGCCTTGGCGCTGCTCCCCCCTCCCCCCAATCACCAGGTCGTCAGCCCCGCAGCGCCTGATAGCGGAGAAGCAGCGCCGCCGCGTGCCAAGTGGCGCAGCGGGCGGGGGAGCAGCGGGTGGTGGCGGGAGTGGCAGCAGTGGTAGGGGTTCCGCCAGCCATGCGCGGGGGGTTCCAGGGGGGCTGGCAGGTGGGCGGGGGGCTGGGGATGGGGAGGAGGGGAAGGGTGCGGGTAGTGGCAGGGCGGAGCTGAGTGTGGTTGTGAAGAGCCTCAAGCGCAAGATGGGGCAGAGCACACACAAGGCAGGGCCAGGAACAGGGAAGGCAGCGCCAGGGACAGGCAAGGCGGAGGGCCTGAAGAGGCAAAAGAAATGACGCGTTCGGGATGAGGAGAGGGTGGTATGAATGATACACTGAGGCCGCGCTGCTGCCGTCATCTTCAAGTTAGACGCCCCTGGAAACATCAAGGTTCCAGAGGTCAAAACCTGGGGGTGCTTACTCCCAGGGTGTATTCAGTTTTCGTTTTATGTACCGTGTCACTCTGGATAGAGGAGCACCTGCGCTTATAAGAGCGTGTTCTTACGGCCCCCTATCAGGCCAACCACTTGTCAGACTCGCCTTTAAAACCGAAATGCAAAATAGTGAACCCGGGGCCAGCTTGAAAGGGGGCCTGCCGAGCGAAACAATTTTCTCTCGTTTGCACTGTTCCTTCGGGAGCATTTTTGCAGATCGAACAGATCTGATTGGTTCTCGCCAAACCCAAAAAAAAGGAAACACAGCACGTCAGGCGTCGCACATCTGTTTGGGAAGGCGCACACCTCTAGCACCGCGATCGCCCACGCACGTCCTTGCGATTTTGGGCCCAGCTTGGGGTTCAAGTTGGGCCTGGGTGAACTACTAGTTCTTCCGATCATACATCTCTGTTTTTTAGTTATAAATAGCCTGCCTAGCCATAGAACCATCAACTTAGGCCGTTGTGGTTTCAATTTTGACGCACAGTGAAGCTGGCATGGTTGTATAGTACTTTGTGCCGTTTCGAACGCACTCTCGCCGCCTTCCCATCGATTCTCGCTCGCCCTCCCGTTCCGATCATCCTCGCGCCGTCCGTTCCGTCGTTCGTCCCGTCGCCGTCCCTTCGCCTTCCCGTCACCGTCCCGTCGCCGTCTTGTCGCCTTCCCGTCGCCGTCCCGTCGCCCTCCCTCTCTGTTCGCCTTTCAATCTCTGTTCGCCATTCAACTCTCCGTTCGCCCTTACCCTCTCCGTTCGCCCCTCCCCTCTCCGTTCGCCCTTCCCCTCTCCGTTCGCCCTTCCTCTCTCCGTCGCGCTTCCCCTCTCCGTTCGCCCTTCCCCTCTCCGTTCGCCCTTCCCCTCTCCGTTCGCCCTTCCCTCTCCGTTCGCCAGTCCCCTCTCCGTCGCGCTTCCCCTCTCCGTTCGCCCTTCCCCTCTCCGTTCGCCCTTCCTCTCTCCGTTCGCCCTTCCTCTCTCTGTGGCGCTTCCTCTCCCGCCGCCCCTCTTCTCTCCCGTCGCCCCTCTTCTCTCCCGTCGCCCCTCCTCTCTCCCGTCAACCTTCCTCTCTCTCCTTACTACGTCGCTCTCGCTGTTCTCGCTCGAAGTACTACCGTGCCTGATTAAATTGTTTCTTTAAAGCTCGCAGCCCAAATTGTTCAACCTTAATAAGGTTGACCTTTGGGTGGTGGGAGAAGAAGTTGACTTGTTGGGAGTTGGGCTGTTTCCTTTCGCCCAGTTTCGCGCTAGACCCTTGGGGTTTTCGTTGACACGGCAAACCCCTGGGAGCAACCTGGGTTTGCTTCGAGAGTCCCAAATTGCAATCAACATATTGTTGTTCCCTGCTCTCCCATTCGACAAAAAAAAACTGGCCAATCAGATTGCATCTCACTTCTCGTAACCACCCTTCGCAACCCAAACAGCACTCAAAACATCACCCCCGTCAACCTTAGTAAGCTTGGCCAGCGCGCCCCGTAATTTGGGCCGCGAGCTTTAAGGTGGCATTGGGCACTGAGAGGGACGTGGGTTATGCGGCTCTCTCATTTTGGATTTACGAATTAACTTGGATTTATTTTATGTTAGAAATTTTCATCGGGTGAACCATTCAGCCTTGGTGTTCAAACATTACTCACGCTCTCCCCGTCGCATCTCCCTCGCGCTCACGCTCTCCCCTCCCATCTCCCTCACGCTCACGCTCTCCCCGTCGCATCTCCTCTCGCTGCCCCTCGCCCTCGCATTTGCTAGCGAGCCCCGCTGTTATTCGGCTATCTCGTCTGTCCCGTCGCCCAGCCATAGCCCTGTCGCCCTCACAATCACCCCTCCCTTCATCTCGCCCTCACGATATCCATCCAATTCCGTCGCAATCGATGCCTCTGCTGCACTTAGTCGTATTCTTCAGTGTATGTGTGTGCTTGGGATCTTGTCTGTGCTGTTGCTAGATGTGCATTTGATGAAGTCACAACTCGTCAAATGGTTGCACTGCCTTGCACGTCGCAGCTCTTTGCGCCAAATTCGCACATCTGTTTGGCTGCCTATCAAAATTGAGAAAGAACTTTGTTCCTTGTTCACTCCGAAACTTGTCTGGAGCTGGAAAAAAACACACGCACAGTACTCAACCTTCTACAACACTACAAAGAAACTTGGGTCTTCAAGTTGGACCCAACTAGAAGGGGGGGGTCACTATTTTAGCTGCTGGCTTTAACACCCACATCTCTGGGTGTGTAATGCAACTAATTATCTGACATGTGTGTCCAGCTTTGTTAGGCCCCTTGGCCTAAATCCGCTAAAGATTAGCGGGGTCGACTAAGTCGAGGACCAAACGCGGCGGAAAACTTTGGCGAAAAAACTATTGATGAAATAGGCGAAGTTACCGAGTAGTTGAAGAGTTGAATGAGAATTGGTTGATCATGGCAAGTGAAAGCAAGGTTGATATACCATGCAAGATCGAATGTCAGAAAGTACTTCATGGGACTAGGAATTGAAGGCAAGAAAAGTAGAGTGCCACGTGGCACTAGGAAATCTGTGAAGATAGGATAAGGATTGGGTTGGGAGGGAATGACTGTTCAGGATGAACAGCAAACTACCCTGTAATAGGCTTGCTCTAAGCGTGCATAGTCGCGTGGGCTATGTGGCACGCAGCAACAGTAACCTATACATATGATTAACCGTTCTGCCCTAGAATCGTCGCATGTGAGCTTGACTCGAAACAAAATGTCAGAACAGAAACCGTAGACATAAGTGTCATTCAGACCTGAAATCGTCCATAACTAACTACCGTACGAATTCCACGCACTGAATTTTCGCAACCATTCTCGACAAAACAGCAATGTGTCTGCACTGCACATGTCAAGCGTGGGTGCTGCACGTGATTTGCTGATGTGGCACGCCAGACAGAGTTCGCGCTCGCAAAAAGAAGTGTTTTCTAATGAGAAGCTCGCGTGGGGTGTTTCCTGTTATGAGGTTAGGCTGATAAGGGCTCGTAGGAACATGTCCTAATACCGCAATCTCCCGGTTAGAAGACCCACTGGTCTTATCCCAAGTGTGCTAGAAATGGGTTGTGGGGTTATATTTGATGGCATGTAGTGCAAAAGACCATGTGTTGAAATGATCTATAGCGGAATGGACTGCACTAGCAGGAATCATGTGCAAGTAGTAAACCCTAATTGGGTTGTACCCTCTAGAGAGTACCGTAGAATCGGCCGGTAAAATTTGCTGTTATAACTGAAGGATCGAAGTTGATAGGATAAGATTGCTGAGTTGAAGTCCTTGTAGTGACCGTGCTAATAGTAGTTGAAGAGAACAAAATGAGTTTAAGATAGAAGTACAAGGGTATAAATAGCAAACTAGCTAGCCATGTACTATGAAGGGTACATTCCCTTATTAACCGTATTGCATAGCTATAGTAACCACGACTATTGCTCTTCTCGACAGTTACCATGTTGCATCGCGTAATTACCAAGTGCGTTCATTGGGCGGTCAACAGTCGCGACCTCTGACTTGCTGTGACAGTTGACCTTCGGGTGACTCTCTATCTGCCGTGTGCTCTATATGAGCTACTACGGTACTGGTACAGTGGCGCTACTTCGTTATGTAGTGGTGCTCTTAGGAGAGAGCCTTCGGGAATGTTATCATAACCTTTCAAATATTCCAACACTCCCCTTCATTTCTGAGGGTGAGCCACGTGGGACTTCTTGGTGATCCCGCAAAGGTCGGCGCAGTGCTGGAACTTCTGACGTGGCAGTTTCTTCGTCAGAAAGTCGGTTGCCATGTCACCAGTTGAGCAGTACGTGAGCTTGACCTTGCCCTTGTCGATCTCGTCCTTGACGAAGAGGTAACGGAGTACGATGTGCTTCGTACGGTTCACGAAGCCGGGCTTGTTCGCGATATTGATCGCGCTTTGATTGTCGCAGAGTAACGTGAAGTGCCCGTTCATCATTACTTTTGCTTCCTGTAGGAGCTCCATCAGGTACAATCCTTCGCGAACACCTGTACTGGCGGCGATGAACCCCACTTCGGCCGACAAAAGAGCAATGAGCTATTCCTTCTGAGAGTTCCAAAAGATGATTCCAACTAGTTGGAGTTGAAAAATGAATCATGTGCAGGAGAGTTTGTTGTCAATGTCTTCTGCATGGTCCGCGTCTATGTAGCCGTGAAGCTACAGAGTAGCAGTTAAGTTGGCTTCGTAGGTGAGTCCGACGTGAGAGGTAGAGATGAAATATTGGAGGGCTTGACGTAGGTCCTGTAGATTTGCCCCTTCAGGTCGCTTCAGGTACTGTTTGAGATGGCTTGCAAAGTAGGAGAGATCTGGCTGGCACGTGACGGCGGCGAACAAGAGACACCCCAGCTACTGCTGATAGAGCCGATGGTTATCGATGTTGTTGATGGTTTCGGGTTCATGATCAGGAGAAGGAGTCCGGAAGGGGGTGGTGCGGTTGATCGGAGCAATGGCCATTCTTTTCGCAAGTGTTTCCGCGTATTTGGCGGCGGAGAGGTGAATGGAGGTGGCGGACTGGGTAATATTGAGACCCAGGAATTGCGTGACATTATGGTTGATTGTCACCTCGAGCTTCTCCTTGATTTCTTCTTCAAAATGGTCCAGCAGCTCCGTGTCATTACCAGTGTAGAGGAGGTCTTCCACGTAGGCGACAAGAAGGATGAATTTGTCGCGTCACTACTTCCAGTACATCCCGAGTTCATGTGGCAGCTGAGTGAATCCGAGCTCCATGAGAACGGTGTGCAGATAATGCTACTACAGGGGAGGTTCTTGTTTGATCCCATAAAGGGATTTTTGGAGACGGCAGACGGCGCCGTCGCTTTCTTCGAAAGCGTGCGGCTGCTCGACAAAGATGATGGTGTCGACAGGTGCTCAATCCCCTTCTTGGCAAAGAGTTGCTTGAACTCAGTTGAGAAGAACTCTGCCCCACCGTATGTTTGGAAGCTCTTTAGCTTCAATCGTGATTGACGATCTACTCGTTTCATCCGAGCAATGAAGCATTCGAAGGCAAGAGAGCGGCAGTCAGTGTTGATGGCCCAGACACAGCGTATTCATGCGTCGATAAAGGTTGTACATTTCGCTGTCAAGCCCTTCCTACGTGAGATTCATGAAGTCGTTGTAAACCTTTTCGAGTGGTTCGCAGCGTTTGTAGCCAGGAGGTAAATCCAGGAAGGGCTTGTGGGCAAGCAACACGGTGGGGCAGACGATGCATGGAGGGTCAACTGAGTTTGCTGTGAGGGAACCTCTTCTAGGAAGCAGCACCGCGTCAAAGTCAAAGAATCCAGCCTTGATGGAGTTTTTGAGTGTGACGTGAGAGGGATGTCCGAGTTGTTGATGCCAAATTTCTGGTTCTGCTTGGTAGCCGACTGCCTTATGATAATATTTGTGTCTTTCCACTTCGTCCCGCTGCCCCTCTACATGTCCCTTGTCAACGGCGTTGTCCACATTGGCTGCAAAGGCTCGGGCGCAGAGGTGCTTCTGGACAGCGTCGGGAATTTCAATGATGTCGTCCGTGTCTACGGTTTGGACTGCGTCGGTCGTGACGAGCGGTTGCGGAAAAGATCATGCCTCAGGCCATTCGGAGGCGGGAAGTCCCTCCATCAAAACGCGATGGTTGAGATACTAATCGTCGATGACCGAGATCAGCTGAGGTCCTTGTTCCGGCGGCGGTGCTTCCTCAGTAGGTTCGGGTAGCTCTACTGCTCCTCCGAACTCGTAAGTCATTTCTTCTGACTCCTCGTATACTTCCTCTGGTGCGTTAGGAGCATACTGATCTGGAAGAGGAGGTCCGCCCCAACTAGTGCCACGCGTTGCCCAGTACGGATCAACCACCGCTACATCCGCAGGAGGGAGTCTTGGGGCTTCAGGATAAGGAGGATTCGGCGGTCCCAGATGTTTAACAAGGTTTTACAACCGCCTCCTCCTATAGCAGCCTCTCCTTCTGGTGTTTGGACCACACCCCAGCCGCCCGTGGTTGATTCTTTGGATGTTTCAATGACTCCCCACGGGCCGATTGTAGGGTTGGAACTTGCCCAGTTAGTGCCAGCTGCTGGAGTAGCTCCTAGTGTCAGCTTCTGTAGTTGCTGACCTTCCGCCGTCCTCCTCTTCCATTGTTGCAAGTCTGGTATCACCGGGAGTAGAGGTTGAGGCGGTCGGGACAGCGCGGATTCGGAGAAGTCCATATGAAGTGGGCCACTCGAGATCCATCTCCCCGGAGTGCGACCAGGTCAGCAGCTCCGTGGGAGCTGTTCTTAGCAGATTGTTCGCTCAGAGTCTTTAGTGCTGCCTTGAGCTGAGAAGTTTAAGACGAACACTCCATTGTCGTCGACAGCCTTGCCGATGTAACCGATGTAAGTGTTTTTGTAATACACTTTGAATGTCTTGTCTTCGCAGTTGCTACGAATGTCGAATCCACACCTCATGAGTTGCTCCGAAGAGAGCAGGTTGTACTGTTGATTGGGAACAACCAGCACGTCTCCGATGTGAATGGTGAAGAGAGTTTTCAGCCTCAAAGTAAATTTCTTCAATGTCGTAAGCCTTGAGGCGGTTGTTATTGGCGACGGTGATTTCGCACGGTCGCCGCATATGCCTTGAGCTGCTAATGAGCTTCGGTGACCCCACCATGTGTTATCCACATTAGCTGTCAACATACCAAGTGTTGTATTTTTCGTGGTTCCAACGCGCAATCCCGGCAATCTTTGGAGTGATGATGTGGTCGATGTCTCCGAAGTACGGCAAGAGATCGATGTATCTTCTTGCGGGAAAGCTGGGAGGGGACTCTGGAGTGCTTGGAGGTAACTCGAAGTCAGCTGGGATGTCGGTTGGTCTAATGATCCAGCGACTGAGTGAGGGGTCATTGTTCGGGCTTGGCATGGTGGATCGATGGGCGCGATTGGTAGGTATTGAGCGTTGTCGTAGTATCAGAGGCCTCTGCGACGACGCGCCGTGCAGCTTAAGATTGAACCCTTGCCTTTGTCCTTGGACGAAATGCTTGCATGAGTTTCAGAGGTGCTTGCGACAGAAGGCGGCGACATGGTCGATGTCGCAGCAAGAGATCTCGAGGGTGCCAAGGGCTGCTGACTAGAGGAGTTGTTGCGCCTCTCGTCACCAACTTTTTGCTTGTAGCACCGGTCGATAGTATGGCCGGGTTTCTTGCAATATTTGCATAAGGTTCCCTTCTTTTGATGCTGCTTCCCTTCAGTCGCTCCAGTGAAGAACACTAACTTCTCCCGCTTTGTGTTCTTCTCATTGTACAGATAGATCTCCTTCTACTCTGAGAGAAGAGTGGCGCAAAGGGTGTCAAACTCATATTATATAGCTTGTGTAGGCTATAGTGGGGTAGACACTATGGGGTACAGTTTCCTAGGGTTTCCTACTTGTACCCAACTTTGTGCTAGTTCATTCTCATTCCTCAATTCTCACATGGTATAGAGCAGGTTCCCTAGTGGGAACTTCCTAGGGCCCACCACTGAACTTCGACTTTTTTTCCTGCCCTGAGATCGAGTCGCTCTTGACCGAGGCGCGCCCAGTGTGCCGCCCTCTCCTTAGCGACCCGTCGTGCCGCCCTCAGCGGCCCTCCCCATCTCTCACGGCCCCTCGCGACCCCGTCGCCGCTCTCCTAGCGGCCCGTCGCGCCGCCCTCAGCGGCCCCTCCTCCACGGCCCCGTCGCCGCCCTATTGCGGCCCCGTCGCTGCCCTATCGCGGCCCCGTCGCCGCCCTCTTGCGGCCCCGTCGCCGCCCTATCGCGGCTCTGTCGCCGCCCTCTTGCGGCCCCGTCGCCGCCCTCTCGAGGTCCCGTCGCCGCCCTATCGCGACCCCGTCGCCTCCCTCTCGCGGCCCCGTCACCGCTGTTCGCGGCCCCGTCGCCGCTCGTAGCGGCCCTGCAGCCGCCCCTCGCGGCCTCGTCGCCGCCCTCTCGCGGCCGCGTCGGCGCCCTCTAGCGGCCCCCGTCGCCGCCCTCTTGCGGCCTCGTCGCCGCCCCTCCGCGGCCCCGCTACCGCTCCTAAGCGGCCCCGACGCCGCCTCCTACGCGGCCTCGACGCCGCCTCTACCGAGCCGCCCAGCAGCGGAGCCGCCGAGCCGCCCAGCAGCAGAGCTGCCGAGCCGCCCAGCAGCCGAGCCGCGCGACAGCTGAGCCGCCGAGCCGCCCGACCGCGGAGCCGCCCAGCAGCCGAGCAGCCCAGCAGCCGAGCCGCCTAGCCGCCCGACAGCCGAGCCGCCTAGCAGCCGATTCGCCGAGCCGCCCGACCGCCGAGCCGCCAAGCAGCCGAGCCGCTGAGCCGATACCAGTCCTACCGACGCGCCCTGGCCCTACTTACTCGTACTGGTGAGCCCACTACTTGCTAGACCTCTGCAGTCATGGCTACCCCCAGTGTTCTTGCATTTGACACTAAGGGCCGTGCTGTTGACTTTGAGGACTGGGTCGATGACCTCCAGCTCTTCCTCCAGTGCGATAGGGCAAACGGCCTCTCTCTGTTCGACCTCACCTCTGGTGCCTCCCCTGCCCCTCCTGCTACTGCTGACAGCACTGTTCGCTCACAGTGGGCCACACGCGATGCTGCTGCCCGTCTTGCTGTGCGTCGCCACTTACCGACCACTGAGCGTGCACACTTTAGCCAGTACAAGAGTGCTCAGACCTTGTACGACGCTGTAGTTGCACACTACTCTTCCCCTGCCACTGCTGCACTGAGCCGCCTCATGCTACCGTACCTCTTCCCTGACCTTGCTGCCTTTCCCACAGTCGCTGACCTCATTACGCACCTCCGCACTAGTGACACTCGCTACCGCGCTGCGCTTCCTGCTGAGTTCTGCGCCAAGAACCCCCCCCCCCCATGTACATCACCCTCTACTATATAGTCACCCGGCTCCCTGACTCTCTCCGCGTAGTCAGGGACCACTTCCTCTCAGTTTGCCCCACCACTCTCACCGTTGACCTCCTCGAGAAGGGCCTCCTAGCAGCAGAGAAGAGCATAGTCGCTGTAGGAGCCTCTCGTGGTGACCCTCGCACCCCTGTCTTTGAGGGGTGTTCCCCTTCCCCCCTCTTGCCCTCTGTTGCTTCTCCTGCTGCGGCCGACCTCGTTGAATTCGAGTCGGTCGGCGCTGCGTCTTCCCCTAGCGGGAGACGCCGCACCGGCAAGGGCAAGGGGGGCAGGGGCGCTGGAGGGGCTGGCGGGGGCGGCGGAGGTGGTGGTGGAGGCAGTGGAGGGGGTGGGGGTGGTGGTGGGAGTGGTGGCGGGGGTGGCGGCAGCGGCGGCAGCAGTGGAGGCGGAGGAGGCGGCGGTGGTGGCGGAGGGAGCGGAGGCGGCGGAGGTGGCGGAGGAGGCGGAGGTCGAGGAGGCGGCGGAAGCAACGGCGGCGGCGGTGGTGGAGTGGGTCGCTAATCTGCTCAGAGGAGTGGGTCAGGTGGTGGTCCGCGCCAGCAGCAGCGGAGTGGTGTGACCTTGTCCCCTTAGTAGCTTCGTGAGTGTTACGCTGCGCGTCAGCGCAGTGGGGGTACTCGTCCCTGCACTAACGTCCTCCGTACCGGCGACCGAGCTGGTGAGCAGTGCGGGGGCCCGCATTCCACCGAGCGCTGCTTCGGCCGCCTGACGGACGCGTGGCGTCACCAGTTCCCTGAGGCGTCAGAGATCCCTCGCTGGGGAGATCTGTCTAGGGCGGGGGTTGCCATCTTTGATCTCGACTATGATGCTATCCTTGCTGCCATGTATGCTGTGATTACTAGTGTTGAGGGTGACTGTTACCTGTCTGTACCACCTGACCCGGGCATTGTGGCTACTGCTCTAGGTGCTGGTTAGGCTACTGCTCTAGGTGCTAGTGCGTCTGCTGCCCCAGGTGCTAGTGGGTCTGCTGCGCCAGGTGCTGGTGAGTCTGCTCTCTCAGGTACTACGTCGGCTCAGGCCTTACACACCTTCACCCTTGACTCGGGTGCGTCCCGCTCCTTCTTTCGAGACCGCACCACTCTTACGCCGCTTAGTCGGCCGGTTGCAATCTCCCTGGCGGACCCCTCTGGGGGTCCTGTCCTTGCTAGCTTCTCCACTGTCTTACCGTGCCCGGCAGCCCCCTCTGGCACCCTGTCAGGTTTCTACCTCCCCTCGTTCTCTACGAACTTGGTGAGTGGAGCGGACCTACAGGATAGGGGGGTTTGCGGAGATAACTGCTGCAACGGGAGCTAGACTACGAGCTAGGCACGTGTGCTCGTGTGATCTCTGCGTTCGTTCACTTAGTCATTTCCTTGTGTTTACGCTTCTTGCTAGTTCACGGGGAGAATTGGCAAGAGTTTCACTAGGAAAACATGACAACAATAATACAATGAAGTTGGCAATGCAAGACTACATCAGAGCTAGCATTCAGGTCGGCCAACTGCCAGCGCAGCTTGGTCGACCGCGTTCCAGCACGACTTGGTCGACCGCACTCCAGCAAGGCAAGGTCGACGACGTGCTAACGTCGCAGGTTGATGGCGTACCAACATTGCTCACGCAGGACAGCAGCGCACCCGCTTCGCAGGTGCGCGCAGATGATTGGCGTGCAGAGTCTCGTCACCTGCACAGCGCACACATTACGTCAACCTCGAGCTGACGACTGCCTCTGATCCGCCACGACGACCTCGGGATACCACCACCGAGCTCGGTCTCGCCAACTTTGCCTGGGCGACCGTCGCAGTCCTCCGCAGCACTTCGTCACCCAGGTAACGTGGTCGGCCAGGCAACCACATCGACCAGCAGCTCCCGTACGTGCCCGTCGACCTCCCAAGTCGACGACCACCTCCATATCGACCTCACTAGGACGACCACGCCCCTCGGTCGACCTCCTCCAGGTCGACCTCCCTTCTGGTCGACCAGCTCCACGTCGACCAGCACTAAGTCGGCCAACGCAGTTGTCGGCTGACCACCCACGTCGGCCACCCGAAGTTGGCGTCACGAAGTTGACGCTCCACTACTCGACGCCCAACTGCTCGTCGTCCTGAGTCGAGGTCGACGTCGGCCCCTCCTTCGTCGACTACCAGGTCCAGTCGACCACCCGCAGGTCCACCAGCAGTCCATCAGCCGACCACCGAAGTCGGCTTCCCCAAGTTGACGTCACCAAGTTGACGTCCTCCGCCGGTCGACTCCTAAGTCGACCTCCCCGAAGTTGGCGCCACCCTGAAGTCGGCGCCCGTGCAGTGGTCCCCGTGCAGGTCGACCTCCTCGTCAACCACCTTGCCTACTGCTGCAGGTCGGCTGCTCCTCTAACACCCGACCACGATGTCGGCTCCGCCCAAGCGAGGACGGGGCCAACACACAACTCCCGTTGACACTCCCCTGCCGCGTTCACGCTTGGGCACCCAGCCCACACGGCAGTACACCTCCGAGAATAGCCCGTCGGCGTGCACCCAACACACAGCACGCCGGTCACCGCACCAGCCATGCAAGAGGGCATGGCACCTACTGCTGCACGTTGTTATCGCCGTCGCCCACGTCGGCCAAGCGCACCTGGCCGATTGCGACGGAGCACCGGTTGAAGGCCGGATAGTGCAGCGCCTTCGTCAGGAAGTCGGCTGGCTGCTCAGCGGTCGGGATGTACTGCAGCGAGAACTTCCCGCGCTTCACCATGTGCTGCAGCCAGGCCTGTCGCCGCTCCATGTGCTTGAGGTTGCCCGTCAACCCCATGCCCTCGGCGACTGTGATAGCCGACTTGTTGTCCACTCGCAGGACAGTCGGCTTCCCGACGTCCAGCTGCCGGAACTCCGCAAGAAGGAAGCGAAGGCGGCGTCCCTCCTTGCCAGCTTCAGTGGCCGCAACGTACTCCGACTCGGTCGACGACAGCGTCGTGCACTTGATGCGCTGGCTCGACCAGGAGACCGCGGCCCCACCGTAGACGAACACGTACCCACTCGTGCTCGTCCTGTTCTGCTTGTCACCGGCATCATCGGCGTCCACGTAGCCGACCAGCTCCAGCGACTCAAGTCCACCGCCGAACTCCAGGGCGGTGTTGCATGTGTTGGTGAGGTAGGCGAGGCAGCGGTCGACCTCGCGCCAGTGCTGGTCGCTCCTCACCGTGAGGCCGCTCCCCAGCTTGCTGCAGGCAAAGGCGATGTCCGGCCTCGTCATTGTCGCCGCGAACTGCAACGAGCTGACCTTCTGCCGGTACTCCTCTTCCTGGCGTTCCTGCGCCTCCTCGTCGTCGAAGGTGAGCTCGGCGTAGGCGTCGACCGAGACCGGCGTCTTCGGGGTGCGCCCGGTCTGCTCCTCGTCGATGAAGCGCCTACGCAGCCTGTCGGTGTAGCCTTGCTGGTGCAGCCACAGCTTCCCCGCCGACCTGTCGCGCACGATCTCCAGCCCGAGGTACTTCTGCACCGGCGAGATCTCGCGCAGCTCGAAGGCGGCTTCCAGCAGCTCCTTCAGCTCCTTCAGCATCGCGGCGCTGCTGCTGGCGGCAAGTAGGTCGTCGACGTAGACCAGCACCTAGAAGGCCACTCCGTCCTTTCCGACCTTGAAGTAGAGAGCCTCGTCGACCTGGCTCTTCTTCCACCCGGCGCCGACCAGCACATCGTTGAGCGCCAAGTACCACAACAGCGGCGACTGCTTCAGCCCGTACTGGCTCTTCAGCAGCTTGCACACCCGGCCGGATCCGTCGTTGAAGTAGTCCGGCTGGGACATGTACAGCACCCGATCGAGCTTGCTCTGCAGGAAGGCGTTCTTCATGTCGAGCTGCATCAGGTTAAGGTCGAGGATGGCGACGATGCTTAGGAAGATCCTCAGCGTGACGTAGCTGCCCACCGGCGCGAACGTCTCGTCGTAGTCAACGCCGTACACCTGTGTGAAGCCCTTCACGACCAGCCTCGCCTTCTCGCGCTCGACGGTGTCGTCGACGTGGTACTTCGTCGTCAACACCCACCGGTTCTTCATGACGTTCACTCCCGGCGAGCGTTCGACCAGCTCCCACGTTCCCATGTTGAGGAGGCTGCGAATCTCCTCCTCCATGGCGGCCTTCACCGCCGGGCCCTTCCAGCTCGCCAACGCCTCCTTCACCGTCATCGTCGAGATGTCCCAACGGTGCTCGGGGTCGGCTAGCATGTCGGGGTCGAGCTCTGGAAACTCTTCATCCTCCTCGGCGTCGTCGTACAGCAGGTCGTCGGCCTCATCGTCCACGTCGTACACCGTGGTGAAGGCAGCGGGGACGAAGAAGTCAGGCGGCCTCCGAAGTCGGCCTGAACGCCGTGGTCCTGGCTGGACCTCCTCGGCGTCCTCTCCATCGTCGCTGTTGTCGCTGCCCTCGGCGTCCTGCTGTTCCTCAGCCGGCGTCCCAGCCGACTTCTCCCTTGTGGTCGGCGTCCCAGCTGACTTCTCCCCTATGGTCGGCTCCCCTGCCGACTGCCCAGTCGCCGACTGCTCCTTGGTCGGCGTCAGTGCTGCCTGCTCCTTTGTCGGCCGCTGGTCCTCGACCTGCTTCTCGACCTGCTCCTCCCCTGACGACGTCGACTGCAATCCCACGTCGACCTGCCGCTCGTCACGTCGGCCACCGGCGATGCACTTGGCCGAAGGCGACGTCCCACTACTCCCCTCATCGCCGGAGGCCGACACCGAGGTCAGCCCACGCAGGTCGGCCACGAGGGGAGGGGCAGGGGTCGGAGGGGGATGGGTAGGGGGGCGGACGTCCTCGACGTCCTCAATAGCAAGCTCACCGACCTCGGCAAGCAGTGGCAGCGTCGCCGACGAGGTGTCAGAGGGCGGGGTGGGCGACGAGCAGCCGAACACCGACCCGTACTCCGTCTTCCACTCGGCCAGCGACATCTCCTCGTAGAACACCACGTCCGACGTGGTGACCACCTGGTCGGTGTCGACGTCGAGGAGCTCCCAGCCCTTGCTCGCCGCCGACACGCCAAGGTACAGGCCCCACCTGGCCTTCGGCTGCAGCTTCCCACCACGCTCCTGCTCGGGGACTAAGAACTGCGCCATGCAGCCCCACACCTACGCCAGCGACAAGTCGGGCTTCTTCCCGGTCAGCAGCTGGTACGGCGTCGTCCCCGGCGGCAGCGCCGACCTCTCAAGGCAGTTGCGGACCCAGACGGTCTGCCGGAGAGCGAGGTGCCACCAGTGGTGCTGCACGCCCATGTGCAGCAGCATTGTCCGCACCGACTCCACCACCGTCCTCATCTCCCGCTCCGCCATGCCGTTCTGCTGCGGGGTGTATGGGCAGGTCAGGTCGTGGACGATCCCCTTGCCGTTCACGAAGTCAGTGAACTGCTTCCCGAGGAACTCCCCTCCCCGCTCAGAGCGCAGCATCAACACCGACTCCTTCGTCTGCCGCTCAACCACCGCCAGCCACTGCACGAACACCGGCAACGCATCTGACTTCTTGGTGACCGGCTTCACCCACACGTAGCGGGTCTTGCGGTCCTTCAGCAACAAGAAGTACAGGCTGCCATCCTTGGCAGCCACGCGGAACGGCCCGCACTGGTCGATGTGCACGACGGCCAGCACGTCGTCGGCGTCGGAGCCTTGGTCGGGGAAGGTGTGCCGCGCCAGCTTCCCGCCGACGCACGAGACACACGGTGAGTCGGCATCCGTCGCCGACTTGAGGTCCAGCCCAATGGCGACCTCGTTCTTCGCCGAGCTCCGTATGGTGTCCATGCCGACATGTGCAAGCCGCGCATGCATCCGGTCCGGCGTCGACTTCGTCTTCGAGACGATCGCCCGCAGAGCCACAACCTCCGTCGTGGGCGACGTCGACCTCGTTGAGCAGGGACGCAGGTCGGTGCAGAGGACGCGCTCGGAGTACGTCGCCCGACCGAGCACCACTCCGGCTGCAGAGACGA